ACTCTGCGTAGTACTGAACCCATTTGCCTGTGACTCCATTTATATCAGCTATTCCAGGTCTTCTTCTGCAGTTTATGGCACACTATCATCTGCTTCAGCGAATGATTTGCATATCAGATGGGAGGCTGGAGGAGCCTGAAGGATCCCTTCGGTCCCAAGCTCTTTTAGGGAGCAGAATCCTGGAGGGTCGTCAGATTCGGAAGCAGAGAGAAGGCATGCACCTGGAGGGGCAGCAGGTATTGGGAGCTGGTTTGTCGATTTTAAAAACAAGCTGCTTAAGCAGGGAAAGGGGCACACAAATTGTCTTTCCATACATTTCCATGCAGGCAGGGGGAATAATGGCAGACGAGCGGCAGGGAAGGGGCTTTGTCATGGTTACAGGCCAGTGGCTGAGAATGTGGGTGGAGCGGCGCTCGTCCAGAGTTAGTGACCTCAGCAAATTGGAGCTCAGCCATGGTCAGTATGATAAATGATCTTATTCTGGGTCAAAGAAATGGTACCCCACAGGGAGGTATCCGCAAGGCGGCCCGGGAAAGCGCTGTGCTCTTGCAGCACTGACCCCTTAGTGACCAGTGTTGCATATATCTTATTTATTACAGACCAGAAGGGAATTTTCCATGGTTTGGCCTTTATAGGGTTTCCCTATTTCCCTGATATAAGCTCCCAGTTCTGCAGCCAAGGCAAGAGTATGGGTGTAATTACACCCTCTGGGTGCCCTTCAAGGCACTGTCTGCTTCGTGTGGGTTTGTATGTGCACTTTAAGGCAGGGGACACGGAGATGTCTGGTCATCTCATGTGTGTGTGTGTGAATCTGCCAGCAACCTGTGCAGCTCCCTGGAAGCCGGGAGCTGCGCATCCATGTCGGCTGGTATTATGATTGCACAAAATCCTGCGTTTCTGCACATTTTTCAGTTCAGTGTGAGATCCTTCTAGTGCAACACCCAGCTTGGTGTTTCTTATGTGAGGCACCTGGTTTCTCTCTGCACACAGCAAGTGTCCTCTTTGCTGAGTTATCACCAATGAATCTGTCAGGCCCAGGAGGTTTTATTGAGCTAGGAAAGATCTATGAATTTTAGCCCTGGTTTTGAGGGTGCAAATGAACCCAGACTCTTGTTCCAGGCAGTGCTAAGATGGAGTCTTAGATGCATTTCTCTTGCAGAGGGAGCTCAGCAGATTCTTCATCGAGGAACACTTGGAGTAATGCAGAAGATCGGGCCTTGGAGGATACACAAGGACTGTGCAGTTCTGTCTGCCACAACCAGGAGCGTTTATGATACAGCTGGGCTGAAAATGAGCCGATGCTGTTGGGTTTTTGTATGCACACTCACTGCAGTTTTTGCATCCTGTCCGCTTGCGTGACAAGCCAATGACTTTGTGTCACTGCAAGCACACACTTCGTTTTCCTGAGCCGTGTGTTTCGCTGGGTGATTTGTTTTATGTATGTATTGTGGATTTGAGCTCCCATCTGTGCACTTGAACTAAGCAGTTTTCTCAAACGTTTGTCAGTTTTTCTTTTTTTAATTAACTTTAGATTATTTTTCCAGAGAATTTGGAGAGGTTTGATGTACTGTTAGCACAGGCAACAGAAGCTGTCTCTGTATACAAATGAGACAGGGATTTCCTACCATGTGCTTCAGTCCCTCCTTTGCAGTTTGAGAATATTTCAGCTTCCTTGTCTGGTTCACTTTTGCTTCTCTGCTGATGCTGGCAATGGTGAGGACAGTTAATGATAATTAGAGTGGATTGTTTGGTGTGGATATTTGTTTGCTGTGAATGAAATGGAGTAGGCTACCAAAAGGATTTCATTGAGACCATGCAGCAATGATAAAAATACATCATTACTGCAATAAGCTGGGCTCGAGTTGGTGATGCGGGAGCGTATTATCTCAGCTCTCACCTCTACCTCACTCCTGGGCCAAAATGCACAATTGCTTCTGCAGCCAAATGGCAGCGTGTGTAGTACAACTGTGCTCCTGCAAATAGCAAATGCCTCTGTTCTGTGATGGGGAGACAGCTTCAGAACCAACATGAGTGTAAAATTGCTGTGTTGTAGTGATGGTTTAACTTGCCAGTGGATGTGGTGTCTGACCAGATTGAGGTTTTTTTCCTTCCTTGTATGTCATTTGTAGAGGACCTGCTGTTGGCATAGCAAATCCTCAGCCCAGGGAGCTGGAAACTGGTTAGACCCATAGCATAGTATCAGAACGAAAATGTCTTAGGAACACTACGTAAGTCAACTGTAAGAGATAAGCGGTTGTGCTATTATTTACCTCTTATTATTTCCATCATGGTAACACGGAGCTGTTGATCAAGGCTGCTATTTGAGGCACGGAGCTGCAAGATGGCTTCTCCTCAGACCACTTGCAATGGAAGTAATCTCATTCCTTTTCAATATCTTACTTGTGGGAGATGGTTTTGGTGTGGCTCTGGTCATTTTTCATCTTTTATAATTGATTTGTTCTTGTAATATTGGTGTATAGAATGTAGAGAATGAAGGGGGGGGGGAATTCAATGCTGAGAAAGCAGCTGAAAGTATTATGTCTTAAGGTTGGCTGTGGAGAAGCGGTCCTAATTTTCATTGCCTTTTGGAGCAAGGAAGCTCCAGGCATGCATAGGGGTATCAGGTTTTTTTCCCTACTGTCTAAATTCTTCAGGACGTGTGTACGTGACTTCTGGGGAGGAGTAAATGAATGTAGGCTCAGGTGGGGCTGAAAATAACATTTATTATGGAAGGAGTAGGGGTGAGGGAGTCTTCTAGCTCAGCCTGGAATAAATCAGTCCTCTCGCCCCTTCGTCCAGGCTGTTTCTAGGTGTCTGTCTTTTATCCAGCTGGTGCGGCGTGTTTCTGTTTAAATGATCGCTCCTGAAAGGTCCCAGAGGAAAGGGCTGCTTATTCCACGCAAGGAGAATGGTATATGGCACAGCTCATTGTTGTGTGCCCTGCTGCAAGTGCATAAATATGAAACAGCTCGCGGGCGTTGCTGTGGTGGGGCTGGTGTCCCCTTTGTGCCCCCCCTCCTTCTCCTGAAGGCTCCTCTCCATCTTTCTTCCTCTCCGGCTTTCATTTCTTGGTGATGGAGAGCAGGAGCCGTTTGGGTATGAGATCCTGAGGGCTTTACGTTGCAGCAGCATTTTTCAGGGGAAGGTGAAAATAGTTAACTCTTGTTCTGGTGACTGACCGACTGACGTGGTGTATATATATACCTTCTGTGCAGCGGTCGCCATCCCCAGTGCATGTTGCTAGGAAAGCGGCAGAATTTTGTCTATTTTGTGCTCTTAACTACGTATCATTACAAGGGAATCATGGGTTGGCCCCAGGCAGGTGATCCAGCTCATCAGGCAGTTTTAAGGCACAAAGCAGATCTTTCTGCCCTGATCAGAGCACTGGATCAGCAATACCTGTCGTGCTCCGGGCAGCCCCACAGTGGGACCAGCGTGCCGGCGGGGAATGCTGTGATCCGGAGGCACCGATGCCCTGGGAAATGGCGGGGGGTGGGGAACAGAGGGAATCTCAGAGCATCCCCCTCCCCCTTTCCCTAGGAAAAGAGGCCCCCATCTGCTGCAGATGGACGTGTCCCCATCGCCTAGTTGATGTGCACCTGCCTACGCCAGGACTGTTCATCCTTGGTATGATGGAAGTGAGGGGGGTAACATTATTTGGAAGAACCCCAGCTCTGCTTTGGGTGGCATCTTTGATCCCATAAAATCCTGGGCTAAGGCAGGGACTGAGTGCATTTATTTTTGCTGGTTGTGGAGCAAACACGTGGGGAACCGTACACAGAGCTTGATTTTAGCTCAGAGAGGCGCGTGCAGAAAGGTTCCCCATGACTAGGGCAAGGTTACCGCACGTGAGGGAGACGTGGAAACCCATCCCGGCGTCCCTGCTCATCCTGTGAGCGGGGCTCCAGCCCTCACTGGTGGATTTGTGCTTTCAGAAAGCTTCCTCACGCCTTGAAAACAAACAAAACTCTTTCAGGGCTTTCAAAGGGCTGTTTAAAGGAGCCCCGGGAGAATAACTGATTGTGGATTCAGAATGATGAAGTGGTTTGTGGAACGGTGAAATATAGAAGCAAATGCAGGAGAACTCCACATTGCAATTTGTCAGCTTCTCTAAACCCTGTAACGGATTATTCCCCCCCTCTGTCGCTTCTCACCTCTCCAATAGGAAATTAACTGATGCTATCACTAAAGAAATTGTTTTTGCCTCACAAAGTAAAATTGATACTATAAAAACCCGCCAGCAGTGTCTCCTCCTCCTTTTACATGAAGACAAATCCTTCCTGTCACCTACTGAAATGGAAAGATAAAGGCTGAGCTTTAATAAAGAAGCTATAAGCACGAAGTGTAGAGGGAGGGAGCAGGCATGGCACGGGGAACCCACCACGGCAGCAGGTGTAATCCCGAGGGATATTGCCAGCGTCCAAAATACAGCTACTGTGTCCGGTGCCTGCGTGCGTGTTTAATGCATGGTTATGCCCACATTTGTGCCCCAGAACTCACGTCTCCAAGAGTTCATCCTGGTTTTGGTACCAATAGTGTCTACTTTTACTCCTTTCATGTTCTTAGGCTTGCTTGTTTGGACTTTTTAAATCTAATTAAACACACAGAGTTAAATGTCAATTTGTTAGGTGATAACGGAACATGCAGGATATGGGATGTGTTAAAGAAATCTTAACATTGACAGTCTCCCACTGGATCGGTGCTTCAGCACGAACTGCATTCATTCTTTGTGGGATGCCTTTTCTATGGGAAACCTCTTCTGCCAAACTGTGGGGTTTGGGGCAGAGCCCTGAGGTCTGAGCTGCCTTGAGGCAGGGCTGCCTGTTAAATACTGTAAGGGACAGTCCTGTTAGGTGGTTTCTTTGACTGGAAGTGTTCAGCTATCCCCATCCATCCTGCATGTTCCTCATCTGCTCCTTTGTGGATAAACAATCACTTTGTTCTCGCATCAGCTAGGAGCCGTTAGCTAGTTTGTAAACTGCTGTCCTTTCTCCTTTCAGGGGATATCAGAAACCTGCTAAAGTGGATCAAACAGAATCTGTTGAAAGAAAGACCAGAATTATTTATGCAAGGGGAATCTGTGTAAGTACAACTGTTATGAATCCTCCTTGTGTTTCTCTGTTGGTCCGCACGGCTTGGGATATATTATTCCTGTTGGTTGCAAGAAGCAAGTTAATAACCATGAAAATACGGGATTTGCTACAGTGATAATGGGAGATGTCCCACGTTACACCTCACCCTGTTCCACGGAGAGCATCTTTTGCAGCCCTCACCCAAATCTTTAAACCTTAAATGTGAAGCAGAGCCATGTATACTTTCCGTTGTCACCTGAAGCAGCATGAGCATGTATCCTCAATTCCAGGAGTTTTAGCAGGTCTGTCTGTTCCCTGCTGACATCACTGGGACTGAAGCAGTCACTCAGAGAAACGCCAACAAATATTTCTTCTGGGAAATGTATTTTTATTGTCAAAATGGGGCCAGCCTCGTGGAGGGGAAAAAAAAAAGCCAAGAGAAATGGAGCAGAGTGAGCTGTGCAAGCCATCCCTGACTGCGGGGTGGCGCTGGGGGTGTTTAACATTCGTCATGGATCTTTGTGAGCTGAAGCGTGTGCCAGGTCCCCTGGTAACGGGAGAGACAATTGCAGGACACTGAAGATCAAAGAGGGGGAATCCCTTTGCCTGTAATCAGGGGCACGGAGTGGATCCCGGGTGTTTAGTGCCTTTGGTAGGGGCAGCGAAATAGCTTTCCCTGCCTTCACATTGAGCTCTCTGCGCTCGACTGTAGCGCGTGGGTTTTAATTACCTGGCTTTTCTACACAGTACGGAAATGTAGTCATCTTGGAGCATCCTCAGGAATGGTGCATTTTGATTCAAATGAGCTCTGGGATCGCTCCTGCCTCCCCTTTATTTGATCTAGAAAGGGCACAGACTGTACCTGTTTCCACCTCCATGCTAGGATTCCTTTTTCTCTTTGGCTTTGTAGGCAGTCAGCTTGTGATCTGTGCTGTAACATCCCTTGTTCTAAACTATTTGTGAAGCTTTTTAGCAGCCCTGTATCCTAATTATTTTTCTCTGTTCTGCAGGAGGCCGGGAATTTTGGTGCTCATCAACGACGCAGACTGGGAACTAATGGTCTGTACTCCTTCAGTTTGACTTTCTTTGTTGAAAATATTGCTCTGTCTGTTCTGTGGTTGCTCTCAGAGAAGCTATTTCTGATTCTTGCCCCGAGCAAAGCGTCTCGTATTTGAGGGGGTAGGGGCAGGCTGGGATCTCTCTCCCTGTATTGTACTGTGGCTGTTCGGAAGCCTGGAGCCTTTCTCGAACCTGCTGAGACTCATCAGCCAGCCAGCGTCTGAAGAGACATCACCCGTATTCCCTGGCCGCTGGCAATGGGCTTCGCACCTCTGGCTGCTAGCAGGTCTCCCCCACGCGTGGGCAACAGCTTTTGGGTACCAGGCAGTTTCCCAGCCCCAGGGAGACCCCCTTGGCTAGAGTAAGGTGGTGCCATAGCAGGTGAAAGCAGCCCTGGGGAGATTTCTGCCCAAACAGGCAGAAAATATCTTGTAAATATCTTCCCTCTTCAGCCCACTGTTGTGCTCAGACAACAAACAGCCCCTGACTATTTTCCTGCCTCAGGCAACCACCTGTTGTGTCAAAACCCTGGTCCAGACAGCGGTGTGGGATAATGGGCGCTAGCTCCTTGTCTGATCTCTCACCTTTGCCTCTGTTAGGATGAAAACGTCAGTCTATCCCCTTCTGCTCTCCCTAACACTCACCGTCTTTTTATGAGCTGTTTTCTCTTTGCAGCTAGTATTTGGAAATGACATTTAAACCATTTTTCATTTTTTTTTCTTGGCCTGCAGGGCGAGCTGGATTATAAACTCCAGGATCAGGATAATGTGCTTTTCATCTCGACATTGCACGGCGGGTGAACTCCTGGAAAAACAAGAGGATGTAAATCCAAACCCCTGGGCAAAAAACCCAAACAAAAACCTAAACCCACCCAAACCTCTCTTGAACTGCCTGTGCCCGGTCTCTGCATCTTCCCACCGCATTCACTTGTTACTAGACATCCAAATAAAGCCCTGCCAGCACGCGGCCTGCTGTCAACCACAACAGCATCCATCTTTTCGTCCTCATTTCATCTCTCCTGACTGCGCTTCCAGGTACCCTAACAAGCAGAGAGCACCTGCAGCATGTGGGACTTTGTTTTTCTGTGACGGGAGGAAGAGGGGTGCTGAACCTCGAGTAGGCTGGTGTGTCTTTGCAGGCAATGAGGCGTTCTGGGGCAGTTGTGCCTGCTTTGGGGCAAGGCTGGGGTGTCTCTGCGTTGGTGCTGGGTACCGGGATTCTTTTAACACAATACTTAGTGTTGGTACAGTCTGTGCGCCAGCCACAGGGACGATCAGGGAAGGGTGAGACATGAAGTGCAAGGAAACAAAAGGTGACTTTACTAGTTTTTCTCTGAGGTGGCAGACATTACAGCTTCAGAGCCCTCTGTAGGGGCTTTCCACTTGTCATGATATTTATTTGTGGGAAGTGGGAGAGAAATAGGCTTTTTTGGTTTTGTTTTTCTGATGCCTTATGCCTCTTTCATACCTGAGCTGAGGCAGGGTGAAGTACAAGCCCATGAACAATGTCAATTTATAACCATTTGGTTGGAGGGGAAACAAACCCGTGCCCAGCCTGAGACAGCACAGAGTGATAAGGGCAGCAAATTATCTTTCCGTCACCGTGATGGACAGAATTGATCAGCCTGTCTTGCGTTCTGTGCAGGTGGGGAGCTGCGTTGCTGCAGCCTGGCTGGGGAAGGGCTGGGGATGGAGATGCACGGAGACCCGGGAAAGAAAGTCAGTGGCTTTAACTCTTTCCGTCAGTGGGAGGGGGAGGCTTCTTACTGCGCACCCTGAGGAAGTCCTGTGAGCGCAGCGGAAGTGGGTGTGCACGGTTTTGCTAGGGCATGGATGCTGTTGGCTTTCCAGAAGTTTCCTCGGACAGACAGACTGGCCTGCCTTCCAGCCGGGAGGCCACGGTGAGAGCACAGAGAAGGGGTCAGAGGAGATAGCGTTGGTGCCAACAGGTCTGAAACGTGCTGCGTGAGCTTCTAGGAGTGTCGACCAGGAGTGTCCGACCAGGATTGTCCTTCCTGTGCTCCCCCCTGCCCTGCTCACCTGCGTTTTGGCACAGCTCCGGCAGCACACGGTGGTCCCCAGCAGTGGCACTCCTGCCCGAGCAGTGGCTCTCCCGGGGCAGAGTGCTCGCTGGTGCTGTATCTCAGTCGGTACACATCTCAGAGCTGGTCTGCACCACGTACTGCTCACCCTGTCCTCGATCTCCGGGAGCTGCCGAGGAGGCGCTGGGAGGCGGTGAGCAGTGCAGTGCACCAGTCCCTGCTCGGGCAGCCCGGCCTCACACCCCAAGTGCTCCGTACAAGGAGCCTTTACCGTCCTGCGCCTGACAGGAGTTGCTCTGTCTGACGTGGAGGGAGTGCCAAAGAGTAATTCCCCCGTCTGACTTCTCCGGTGACTCCTCTCTCACGTTTACCCCACCACAACTTGTGTAACTAAAAGCACCCACAGACTACAATGCTGCTGCATCTGAGAAACCCTAACTTCAAGCCCACTGTTGGTAACAAACTGATATTCAGCCTTTTCCAAATCCAGCCGCGACTCGAGTCCAGCTTGCGCCGTTTGTAAATGACACAGACAGGCCAAAGGCTCTTCTCTGTCCTCAGTTCGTGGCCATAAGCTTTGCTGGGCCAGGGGAGCGGAGAGGGGATTCCAGGTGATGGTAGGAGCTGGCTGAAAAACAACGAACCTGCGTGGTGTGCAGCTTGAAACCGACTTAAACCCAAGTGGGAAAATGCAGGTTCGTCTTGAGCGCTGCTGCCTGCCGGGCCTCTACGCTGCATTTTTGCCTTAGGCTGGGTTTGTCTGTTCTTATCCCCCCCAGCTGTTTGCTCATGATAGGATGAGTTCCTTCCCTGGGAGGTGTTACTCCCCTCGCTAGTGCAGGTAGACCCGGATGGCTTAGCTCCTGCTGTAGTAAAAGCTGCCAATCATTGCTAAAAAAAAAAAAAAGGCTAGAAATGGGAAGATGAGGGAAGCCAGGGGAGGGGAGAGGAGGGGTACAGCAAAATCCTGTAACAAAAAAAAAAAAAAGTTTCTGAAATAAAAGCCTTTTAAAACATTCTCTGCCTCCAGCTTTGTCCTAGATAGGCTCTTGGTGAAATTTTGCTCGGATCTTGTAATGCTTCCCTCCTCCTCCCGGGTTTCCTTGGCAGCCCCGGCCGAGCCCCTCGGCTTGAGGAGTCATAAAGCCGCTCTGTTACAAACCTCCCTCCCGGCCGTGGTTTCGAGGGGCTGCTCCGGCAGCTCTGCGGACCCCGTCTCCGCAGCCCTCGGCCGGGGGGAGCCCGGGGCCGGGCCGCTCTCCGCCGAGCCCACCCGGTG